CTAAAAGTATATACCTCATTCTTCTCATTTTGCATAAGTCTGTCAACAAAGGTGAGAGCCAATAAATCCAGCACACCAGTCACCAAAATTCTCATGTTGGCCTGTAATCGGAAAGTTTACAGATAACAAACAGCATTAACACAAGAAATATCAAGATAAAAGCAGAAAATTGAAAGAATCATCAACGAGATAAAGTATATACCTGAAAAAATTTTGCTTTTCGCAACGGCGATGGTTCTGGTGGTGGTTTTGCAGAAGCATGGTTGTCTCCATTGGAAGCCATTTCTAGATCACTTCAATTTCTGAACCCAAAACCAAATCTAAAGTTCAAAACCAACAATTAAAGTAAGATTCAAGCAAACTATCGCAACTCTACAACATAACAACCACAATTACCACATAACCATTCCTAATAGAGTGATAACCATGACACAAAAACATAAAAATATCAAAAAGATAAATGTAACCTGAGTTCTGCGTTGGATTCGAGTCACGAAATAATGTGTTCATTTGTTCTTTGGTAAGAACAAACAATTACGTTATTCCGAGGCTCGAATCGTTTTTTCTCCGGCCTCCAGTTCGGGCTCCATAGGTAATGTCTTCTGGTTCATTCACCTTTGTTATCGATTGTTATCTCTTCTCGATTAAGTTAATTTAGGATTTGCCCGCATTCTTCATTTGTCTGTTAATTGGCCTGTGTTCAGATNAAAGGAGGAACCTTTAACATTCGGCCACAAACAAATCAATCATAATTTCTAACGGCATGAAAAGTTTTTTTTCAAATATTTTTGGCAGAAAATGAACAACACATTACGCACCAAAGGGCAACCCGGTGCACAAACATCCCGCGTTCAAGCAGGGTCCAGGGAAGGGCCGCACCCAAGGGGGTGTGATATATACAACCGACCCTAATGCAAGCAGTAGTAGCTGTTTCCATGACTTGAACACATTAAACACCGAAATCAAATTTCAACAGCAGCGGAAAGTTTTTTCTTTTCCAGAGAATTAACAAACCCAAATTAAATATTCATCAACAGAAGATAAAAAGCTAACAGCTTGATTTCATATATTCAGAAAAAAATACAATACAATTTGAATCACCTGATCGTCTACAATGGTAATGAAAACAGCCCCCAACAGAAACAATTGCAAAATATCAGCGGCTTTTGTTTAATTATCAGAGGCTCAATGCATGAATTTATAGAACAAATATCATATAGATTCAGACAAAGAACGTGAAAAGCACGTAATCAAGATCCCCATCACACCAAACATGCCAACTAGATAAAGATGGCAGAAATAAAAACAAATCTTTGAACATAAAAAGAGTGAAATCAAAGCTTCTGAGCAATTCTAAAAAGACCCCACATCAGATCTGAATCTATATTTCTCCAAAACACAAAATTAATTAATGTAATTGCAAAAGAATTAGAACAATTACCTTTTTTTTGTGAAATCTTTTTATAACAAAAGAACAGAGGACAATGATAATGCTTATGTAAAAGAGATACTATATAAATACATTGAAATTGGTAGATGGTGAGATGCTGTAAAATAATTGTTGGGTAGTAAAAAAGTCTTAAGTTTTTTTTTTTTAGGGTTAGTAGAGGTAAAAGGCAATAAATGTGGTGGAATTA